GCATACATATTCCACACCTGCCTCCACCCTCATTGGCCCCACTCTGGGCCCTTGAACAAGGTCCTTAACCCCGACCATCTGCTCCCCTGGGCACCCCAGATGGCAGCTCTTCGCTCCACACAGAGGGCTGTGGTAGCTTGGTGGTTTGTGGTTGCGTCCGGAAGGGCATCCAGCGTAAAAACAATTGCCAAGTCTTCGTGCAAATTAGTTCGCTGTGGCGATCCCTGAATAAGGGAGCAGCTGAAAGAAGAAATATATATATATATATACTGTATATATAGTCAATATTTAGTCAATGGGAAATATCTGACGGTGAATCCACTGAGAGGCTGAAGTGGCTTTTGGCAGAGCTCATCTCTTCCATGCTTTATTAACTTATCACTGAAGCACTCAATAACTGATGTTATTACTGTTTTTCTTATACATTTTATTGTTGGATGTAACTGGGACCCTGTGTACATAATTTCGCTCCACCACATGTACCACATGAGGTGCGAATGACAATAAAGAAACTCTGACTCTGACTCTGACTCAATGCTAACTGAAGTGCTTACACTTTGCCTCAGCTCTGATGAGTCACATCTTTTAACACTTGCTTCATGAGTGTGTCTAACTGCTGTGAACTTGTTAGCACCTTTCCCAAACCGGTCAGTCCCTGGAGGCTCTGCATCAGAGTTGAACAAAGATCAGAGAGGTAATGTGGCCACAGGATGGCGAGCCTTGAATCACAGCTCCAAATTAACCCTGCAGGAGCCAGGAGAGCTGAACCCTGGACATCTGCAGCCTGAGACATGTGTCCTCTCTGAGCTTGTTGCGACAGAAACCGCTCTTAGTTTGGGAAAACATTCTGATGGCATGTGCACATTCTGCAGGAATGTTGACGATTTAAGCCGACCATTGCCTCTCAGAGGCATAGGTCATACCTCTAATATAGATACTCTGTTCAGGGATGAAAAAATAATAAAACACTATTATTCTGACTGTCAGTAGTAAAAATAGAAATGCACATAATATAACATGTTGAACTAAAAAATTAATATTTTAAATTGAATCTAATAGGTGCAACATTCTCATGCACAAGTGTTATATTTATTTACACACTGTGTATATGAAATATATCTATCTATGTGGAACCTTGGGATCATGTTCCACTTGGGGCACAGTGAAGGTAAATTTAATTAAACTGACTATGGTTAGAGCAGCAGGCCTGGAAGCGCTAGTTAGAGGATTTAACTTGAACAAATGTTAATAAAGCTCAAGAGATTTCACTGGAAAGATAAATGGTTTCATTTCATTCTACTTTAAAACGAGTAAATTACCTTTTTTGTTTAACTTCTAATGATAACAGATTGAAAAGCTTTAATGTTGTAACGGAAGGCATTTTTCACACTAAGTAAGGGAAGAGATGAAATATGCAATATTAATAAATAAAAAAATGTCTTTAAGTGCAGTTTAAGTTGAAGGATAGTTAGCTCGATCTGCTGTAGTGAACAGACATCATGGATGGCAACAGGTGGCACAGCTTGTGAAGCTAGTGCTCTCCACTGTCAGAAATAGTCCCACAATGGTTCAGAAGTTAGACAGAGGAGAAGGCAGGACGACTACCGCCTATTTTAAGATTCTGACTGTTAGTCAGTGTGAATACTCAGACATCCACATCCAGCAGAGCTGACATTTTATAATACAAGTTGTATGAGGGAGACACCCTGCACTGAGACAAGTGCAAGTGTTGAAAGTTAAACTTATTCACAACATTTATAAACACTAAATATTGTTCCTGGAATCTATTGCGTTTAAAAAGAAATGCAACTTAGTTCGGAAAACTTTGATTTGTTGCTATGTATGTGATCTTCAGACAAAAACTTATAAGGCAGACAGCTTTTTTAAGATTTGTTTTAAAATGATAAAGAAAAATGTAATTTGTGACTCAACCGTTTGATTCATGTCCGTGCTTATTCCTTGTCCTCTAAGAGTTCATCGAGATGCAAACCAATTTAACGAAAGTCATGAGGGCAAAAGGATTTTAAGCTGAGGTGTTGATCTGAGGCTTAGATCCCTGTTCAACGTACGTCAGGTGCCCTTGTGGCATCTTAAGGAGAAGTAATGTCATTTAACACAACTGGTGTGCTCCCTCTTTACTACTACAGCAAAGGGATGTCCCAGACATGACACATGTCTTTAGAGTGAGTCACGAGGTTACTTCTTCAACTTTCACTGTCTCCACTCTGCAATCTTTGGATACTAAAGCAGTTTTTAGCATGCTACAAACAAAGTGTAACCTTAAGCTGTAAAGAAACAAGTAAAAAGTTTAGGGAAAATCAAAATGAGTGTTGCTTTTTCCCACATAATGATGAACTAAGATAAACCATTTTACTGGACAGCCTGATTTTTAAATGCAATAGTTTAGATCTGATGAAGTGGGGTTCTGTAGCAAGATAATGAATGATCCATAACTCGTGGTAGATGTAGCTTTGAGCAACCTCAGTTTGTAGGAATAAAGTTGAATTCTAACCAGGTTGATGAGCTAACTGTTAACTAAACGAGACCAAGACCAAAGTCGATTGCTGCCATCTTGAAACAACTCCACTTGCAAAATATTGTTAGTCATACAAACACAATTTTAGAAACACTTGTACTACCATTGTGTGATGTACAAAGTATTTTTATATAATAATTTGGTTACTATAGCAAGTGGCAGCTGTATCTGTAGGACTTCTGGTGTTGATGGTAAACTTCCTGGAATTTTTTTTTTTTCAGCAAGAATAACAGTGTAAAATAAAATTGAAACAATTTTAAGATTTATTAAACAAAACTTGCATAAATTGCTGTTATTGTTCTTAAGAAAACTGACTTGTTTTAAGACTGCAGAATTCCAGAACTAGGCGTGTCAATTTAATGGGCATTTCCCTCTAAATGTCACAGAAACACATGCTAATTTTGTCAAATGTAATTAATAACACATTCATGTAATGTAGGCTTATGCAAAGAACGTTACAACAAAGTCAGATAAGCTGTCCAATAAAAATCTACCAGACTGAGGAAATACGATGATTTCTTGACAATGACACATGAGGCCTCTTATAAGCAAAACATTAACAGAAGAACATTATGGAAGCATAATTGTATAGATTGTATGCTGGTGATGTTATTGAACAGTTCTGTAAATGAAATTAGGATTTAACAACATCAAATTTACAATGACAACTGTTGCAGAAGACCCTCAGCTGCGTTTTCCAACAATACAATACATTAATGGCTCTGCTCTAAAGATGTTAGACAATCTTTGCTGAAACAATGATAAATATGTTATTTGTTGATTAAGATGAAGATTACTACTTTCAATCCTAATTAGATAAAGTTCTAAACAGTAATCTAATACAAATATGAGCGGCAGGGACTCCATGATTCCCATGTACCCACTTTACGAAGTATCAAATTTAGAGATCGAGGCACCTGAAACACACCTGCACAGGCATGCAGAGGAGCTTTATGAAAACGTGAGCTGCAGCCACAGCCCAGCCCCTCCTGCCTGGAGAATGCATGACCCTAAAAGGCCAGCTGCTGGGAATAAATTGCAATTGTGGCAGTGCAGAGTGACAGCAGCTGTGCAGCGTATCTAAAGCAAAGAGTGATGTTCGGGAAGGGGAGGAGGTTAAAAGATTGGTGGGGGCTTGAAGAGAGGGAGGAACTGCAGTGGACAGTGTTGGGTTTCAGGCTTTCCAATCTTAGACACCTAACTGAAGGCTGGAATACAGAAACCCAGTTACGGATTGTGGAGCTGAACGCCACCCCAAGGACGGGCAGGGGTGACAGACAAAGGTAACTGCACCCGTCAAGACCCAGAGATCAGTCCGCAGGTTGTGTAAGCACACAGTAATTATTCAAGAAATTCATCTCAGTACTCAGTACTTTGCATGATCACAACAACTGTAATAAAAGTATTTATTACAATGTCGTAAACTACCAATAAATAAATACAGACATTTTTCAGCATGTAGCAAATAAAACTTATAGGCATTTTGTGAAAAGTCTGTATCAGTGAATCAGTGTCCCTTCACTCTCCCACGTGGCCGTTCTGCACTCCTCAATCAGACTAAGACTTTCCATCAGCTGGTGCCATGCCTTTGGACAGCAGACATGCTGTCAGGCCACAGCAGAGACTGGACACCTTTACCAAACGTCCCTCCTCCACCAAAAACGCTCCAAAATGAGACTTTTTATTTTATTTATTTATTATTAGCGATTAAAACATCTTTAAGCATTTAGAAAATGGAAACAGGTGCCAACACCAAACCGAGACAGATTTAAATAGCCCAGCCTAAAGTTAGTTGTTTTATTCTGTGCCATTTCTAGTCAATAACTTCCCCAGGATATAAAACCCTGCAGAACAGCTTCACTTCTTGTCATGTGAAAACTACGTTCTGACACACTCTTTACATCAGCCTCTAAAATTACTCATCACTGTTTCATTCATCAACATAATACAAGTAAAATTTTTATTATAACACGTCGACAAAACATCTTCTTGTGTAAAATCACATTTTGTTGCTGAAATGCTTCTGTCTTACCTGCTGTGGCCTGCAAAATCAGCAGGGTGAGGAAACAGCAGATCGAGACTGAACCCTTCATGATGGCTGCCAGGAGAACTCTGAAAGTCTCTCAAACTATATATACCAAGGCTGGAAGGTTAAAGTACATGCAGAGAGAGGAGGTGGGGCACAGAGTGCCAGCTGGTGGAGGGGCTGAGATCCCAGAGTTAAAGGTGTTTCAAGTGCGCCACACAGGCTCCAAGAGCACATACAACTAGCTATACTGTTCATCATCAGTGCATGAATCAGTTCTATTCTTTAAACAGATGATGAGGAAGATACAATGCTCATTTGGCTGCGGTGAAAGTTATCAACGTGACATGAGAAAGTGTGAGTGGAATGAGAGCGCTGGTGAGTCTGGAGCATTAAAACCCAGATTATTGTTTTATCACACTCAGGCAGATACAAAGTGAGGGGACATAATCTCACAGTTCCTCTGGAATCAACATCTCAGCTGCAAATTAATCCTAAAATACAGCAGGAGTTTTGAACCCCATCAGGTCTACCCCAAGTGACTTTGGAAGCATGTTCATGATGGGGCATTAAAAGGAGTTCCTTAGTGAGAAGCAATGTGCGCACAAGATTATTTGTTCATTGATTCACTTTAATGAGCTTTAGACAACAGCTTTTCTGTCAAATGCAAATTACAAACACTGTTTTTGACAGCAGATTTAATTTTTTTTCCTGGCTGATTTTCTTGTTTATTGCAGCTCAGTGCAAAGACAAGATTTGATTTAAACAGACACATAAAACCTGCTTATACATAAGTAAGCTCGTATATTCAGTTTTTAATGTTCAGCATATTAAATTAGTACATTATGCAAGCATTATGTGTTTATTTTAACATTATAAAGTCTGTTGCCAGCATTATGGTTAACTATTTAAAGAAATTAGCTTGAAGCTGCAATAAATGCAATATATGTGCTACATGCTGTTTGGGGGAAGAATCAGTTTTGTGTTGTGTGTTTCCTTGACTGATGAAGACTTTTTTTGGTTATATGTGTCACAGTTTGTGTGTGGGTTTTATTTTTTATTTTTTGGTGTTCTATAAATCCCTGTTTTCAAATTATGTATCAATGGTTTTATTTATCCTGTTTGTTTTTCTGCCAGTGTTCGTTTCTTAGTCATTTGTATTTCTATTAGTTCAGTTTTTCAGGTTTATCAGATTTTGTGGTTGTTCCAGCCCGTTTTTTACTCAGCTTCCCTGTTTTTATCACACCTGCCAATCATCTGTAATCACCCCAGCTGCCTTGACTCACTAATCAGCCCTCCTAGCAGAAACAAAACTCCCGGATTTCATTTATGATGTCAGAGGTATAGTTCCTGGTTTGTTTGTTTTGGGTTAATAAAATAAATATATATAAATAAAATAAAAATTTTGAATGTACAGAGGACCAGACTTAACTTTTTTTGGTTAATAAAATACTGTGCATTGTTGAGAATTATATATGTCTGCCTGCATCCTTGGATCTTCAACACCACCCCATTGTTACAATCTTGATGATGTAATAGTAATCAGGTCCACCAGTCTTTCCTCTATCTGGTTGGCAAATTATTCACTCTTCATAAAATGAACTCATTTTGACTTGTGTGCATTAAGGAGAAATGTGAGTGATGTTGTTTCCCATTTTCTTTTTATCTTTCAGTAATTAAACATTTAAATATCATTCTGTTCTCAAGCTTAATTCTGTGTCTGGATTCTTCAACCTCATCGCGTCATGTAACAAACAGCTAATTTTGAAAGTGAAATGAAACGATTAATCTTGAAATCAGATTTAATCTGCTTTACAGTTCAGGCCATCTTTTCTTGTCTTTATGCAGATATTTTTATTGTTTCTGTTTTACCTCAAGTTGTGCTGCAGTAAGTTCAGCGTTTGGACGTTCACTGCTGAAATGAGCAAGTCTTGCTTAAAAAAAAAAAAAGCACAGCTTGAAAGTCAACAAATGTTTGTTTGAAAGTTACATTAAATAAATAAAGAATATCACACCATGGCCAAATATTTAAAAAACAAAGTACAAACTTTATTATTCTGTCTTTACAAAGGCACAAGCCTCTTTATCCCCAAAACTTTTCTTGAAAAGAAAAATAGCTTCTTGATGACCGTCTAAAAAAATTATAGAGAACAAAAAACAAGGGAAGAAAATGAACCACAAAATGTAGAAGATACTGACAATACATGAAGGCATGACAGAATATGCAAAAGAATAAAAAAGATGTAAGTAGTAAACGGTAAAAGGTGTAGGACTGACATGAACGGGTTGGGGATAGATACACAGCTGTGCGGTTTTTACTCATAACCTCAAGAGCTTCAGTTGAAGAGATGCTCCTTTAAACATAAGAAGCAAATTACAGTAAGTGCTTTGTAATCTTCACCCCATTAAGTGTCCCCAGGCCATCTCCACTAGTCTAATAATCTGATATGTCCACATAAAGTTTTGTAACATAGAATACAGGGTGTAAAAATACCAAACTCAAAATAAAACAAATGGAAAAAAAAAAAAAACTTAGTTCTGGGATTCTGCAGAAAACTTCCCAATACAGATACTGAGAGGAACAAGAGAACACTCTGCAAAAAGCAGAGCACTTTTTCCACATCCAGGAATCCCCTTTCCTATGAAGACACATGTCCCATGATGCATTTCGACTCGTTTTAGTGCAGCTGACGTCAACAAGCTTAAAGGGTAATTTCATGACATACATCATGATGAGGAGTGTTCATTTAAACACAGTCTGTCCAGCAGCTCAAAGCTATCTGTGCACCGATGCAGGGGGGAAGAGTACGCTACTAAATGCTGTGAGGTGTCAAAAGGCCTAAATTACCAGTTTAATTAATAACTTTAATAAAAAAATAATAAAAAAAATGGAATGTCTTACTGTGGAAGTTTTCCACATAGTCTGACTTTTACAACTCACTATTTTCTAACCAGAAGTCAGTATTTAGACACACTTTGGCCAAACAATCCTCAAGATCCCATGAATATAATTTGCATACAAGCAACCTGTTTACTTTTGAGGCAAATCTAATCAAAGATTGCAAATAGATATAATAACTAAATATAAATGCCGACACGCCCTGGATATTTCCAAGCATGATTGGAAAGGTGAAGGGAAAACCAGTGGCCGCCAATTGACTTGGTTAAAGAATTCAGGTATTTCTCAAAGACCCCTGGGCTGTGTTAAGGCTGGTCTCCCTGCAGCTGTGGGGATTATAAGGCAAGCTGCAACCCCTCGCACTCTGCTACAACTCAATCAGTCTGTCAACCAACACTTCCATGCTAAAAAGCACGTTACGGTAAAACTCATGTAAGTCGCACAGTACAACAAACTGAAAATGCACAAAATGATGGGTGATCTATGTTAGGAAATGCATAGAGCATGTGTGATCTATCCATTCACCCATTTGAAACACTCAAACAATCTACGAGGCATTTAACCTCATATTTTCAGCATTTTCTTTGACAAATATCCCAAAGTCTCACTTATAGGAGGGGAAAACAAAACAAGCTCTTAAGTGTGAGCAAAGAAGTGATTGTATATCTTATTTGTATGAGTTTTTCATTTCAAGGCAAGAGTGGTGCTCTTAGAGACTGCCAGAGTCCAGGGCACCACAAAGCACCTTCACAACGTTAAGAGATACAACACAAACACTCGTTGATTTTTCCTCAATACGGCCCACAAATTAGCTTATTTACCAGGCCAGGTGCTATTAGACCCAAACAAGAAGGAATTTTAAAAATGTCACTGCAATATTGTATTTTTGTCAGGCAATGAGTACAAGGAAGATCAGGCCAAATACATATGTGGGATTACTGGGAACCCAGCCCAGCAAAAACAAAAGCCAACTAACAAAAATAGAGTTGTGAGCCTGAAAGTGCACTCTTTTTCTTATGAGCACCATTGAGCCATAAAAACAGCTTTAATTTTTTTCTTTCTCCTTCTTCACTTTTTGGCAGAGTCTTTAAAAAACATGAAAAAGACTTGACAACGGTAAAACATGTTCTTCCAACACAAAGCATTTACGTTGGAACTTCAGGACAGTCTTGCAAGCTCACAGTGTCTTTCTAAAAACAGCTCAGATGGGTCTCAAGTGAAGAGGTTTACAACGGATGTCCATCTTCATGGATATGCACGAATGCTAGATGGTGCTGCCACACCACTGGGCTCTTCATTGACTTGCTTTTTAATCAGTCACACGGTTTCAGGACTGCAGAATATAGCAGTTCTGGTAGCTAATGGAGATGTTTAGCAGGGTTTTATGGTTCTACTATCCAGTTTGATGGAGTATTCATATAAACATGTCAGCAAAGTTGTAGTTTAAAGACACTTTCTAGAGATTATGGAATAGAAATGAGTTGTGTGAGTGATTAAATGAGCAAGAACTAACAATAAGCAAAAAAATCCTCACCAAAAAAACACAAAATGCAGCGTGTGTGAGTGTAGGAGTGTAAACCTATTTCAGCGGTCTATCACGGTAAAACTTGGTGCGTTTTGAAAAGTAGAAAAAGATGAAACAGAAAATTAAAAACGAGTGCTTCGATCGGATCACCAGCCCTGTCCACAGAACAAAAGTGCTGAGACTTTGTAGCCTCCTGTAGCGCTGGTCTGCTTGGGCCGTTTGTGTGTAAGTGTGTGTGTTATATGCAAGATTTTAGGGATGAACTCAAGGCAGCGAACAGTCATCTGGCCCATCGCTGTTTGAGGCTGTATCTGAGCCTGCTGCATCAGAGAGGATGCGTCCCGAGGTGACGATAACCGCCCTGCGTTGCTCTTCCTCGAAGCCCTTCCCCTGGGTGCCCTCGATGTGCTGGATTGCCTGGAAGAACGAGGGAGTTGAGAAATATCTCAGTGACAAAAGCTCCCTCTAGTGTTCACATCAAAGAGGAATTAAAACACCCCCAGACAGTAGTTTTCCCCAAATATAATTACCCGGTAATTTAAAAAAAAGTATGGCTTACTTGAACGATGGTGTCGAGATTCTGTCGAGACGTGGACACCGAATTGATAACTGATGCTGGGCCCATGGTAACCACGGTAACATGATGAGGTTGTGGAGTTTGAGCAGGAGCAGGAACGATGACTGTAGCATGATGTGTAGGTGCAGGTGGAGTAGCAGGAGACAACACCTGGTAAAAAAAAAAAATTCATTCCACTTTACTTTAACGCCCCAGCTTCATTTTACTAACAAATGACCCTAACATACAGACCTCACACTAAACATGCACAAACACAATTATACCATGTTCTGGGTACAAACAAGCTAAAATATATAATGTTCTGCACACTGAACAGGTCAGAGGTTTGGAGAAAACTTATTCATGTTTCAAGATGGATCAAAAACCAATATCAATTGAGCTTTAAAGCATTACAAGCTTTCAGCAACTCATATTTAAAAGTCTTGTCCAATTTCCACAGACATTTCTCATTAAAAGCAGCTTCAGCAGTATTATTTATCTCCCTACAGATGACATATAAGCTCATTGTTCACCCAAAAACAAGTCGCTCAACAACTACATCAGTGTAAATGTGTCAAAACCTTTAGTATATTGACCACTGAGAACATTTCAGAAAGACTTTCAATTATTTTTAACAAAACTGAGTGAAGACATACGAAAAAAGGTTTGTAGGCTCAATCATCCAGATAGATAACAAAAAAAAAAAAAAAAGTTAAATCATGTCATTAAACATCTGGACCATTAAACTTGAGTGAAAACATGTTTATTTTCATGACATTATCTCAATATAAGTTATATCATTATTGCCTTGTGATAACAACGCCTGTTTTCTTGAGACACTGGTTTAATATGTTTAGTTAGTTTGACCTAGAAAAGCTCATTTCCCTGACTAACCGGAGTCTATTTCAAAATCATTATATAACAAAAAGACTTCTACTTCATCAGAAATCAACTCATTATCACAATAATTCATCTCCAAGTATCACAACAGCAAGCCTGATGAATGAAACTAAACAAAAGTACTTATTTCTACAAAGTGTAGTATGTTCGGTGTGATGTGGACGGGTAGACATCATTCTCAGTTGGTGTAAGTGCTCAGAAACGGGACACTGACGGCCATGGCAGGGCCTACCACAGCACCGAGGCGTGTGAGCGGCTCATTTGACACACTGTAAAACTGTCAGAGCTGTTGACAGCTCTAACTGTGAGCATGGAGGGGACTGTCATCTGCAACCACGTCTCTGAAACCAAAAGATTAGACCAGCTGTGTGTTATATCATATATATGAAACGTTTTGATATAAATGACGCAAAATCTATAATATTAATTACCAGTGCAGAAGGAGGGAGGAACGTTTGGTGATTGTTAGCTGATGATTTTAGATTTATGAGCCCAAGACTACATTTTTTCATTCAACCTTTATTTAGACAGATAAATCACACTGAGCCTAGAAGACTCATTTACAAGTGAGATCTGTTTAGACAGACACAAAGTAGTGAAACTGGACACAAGTAGGAATTGGAGGCGAAAAAATTCCTATCAGACTTTTTCTTTTTGCATGAGAAGAAAAAGTCTGATATTAAAAAACACCTTGCACAAACAAGCACATAGTGACGTAGACATTCTGCAGAGGGGGGAGACGACGAGAGCGATGTCCATAGATGCTCTCGATGTCACTGTAAGAGTTCTGATAAGGATATAATAATCAGCCAGTGTCCTCCGGTGAGATCCATAAACATTCTCGAGGTATGTCGAGGAATGGCCAAGGAAAACATCTATGAGAATCTAAGAGTCCTGAAATGATGACACAATGTTTATTCTGGTTAACAGTTGGAAATTCCACAGGGAGGGGGTGGTGAGCGTCAGATCACATGTTCTCCAGGCAACTTCAGATAAGATGGCCTTCAAGGCCAGCCAAGGAAGCCAAATTCAGATAAACACACAGATGCTTTGGGGACAGGCAGAACTTAACGACATCTACCTTGAGTCTGTGTTGGTCCACTCGGTTCCGAAATGTCCAAATTAACATGGCCACACTGATGCGTAACTGAGTAAAATCCCCAAGATCTGATCCATTCTGCCCAAAGCATTTGATTCCAGGTACTCGAGGCAAGAACCAAGCCATCATAAAGGCAAGCAGCGTGATCAGGTCCCAATTTGCTGCTGACGACTTCCTTGATTGTTGATAAAACCAGCAACCAGCCGAATCCAAAAAGCAGGAACCAGTTATCGTAAATCCAAATAAATATGCGTCCTTAAAATCGACAAATGGCAGCAGAGATAGACACATCATCAAGTTCTTCCAAGTCGATGAGATATCCAGCTGCGTGCGTGCCAACAGGACAAATCGGCTCGCCTAAAGCCTGTCTTCTCTTCAAAGAAATGTTGTAAATTGAGTTGAGGGACCAACTGATCAAAACAAGTCCATAATTATGGTTTGGAAGAAATGCAAGAGAGGCTCAGAAGCAGTTTCACAGACAGACAGAGCAGCAAAGCAAAGCAGAGAGGGAGGGGAAAAGCATCCGATCTTGGCAAGAGCAAGTGGTGAAGTGTACTCAACCAAAGAGTACAACTTTTAAAAAGGTATGCTTATGGTTATCTAAACCTGAGTGAGGTGTAAATGAACCTGAGGGCTGTGGGCTGGAGTGAAGTCCCTCTCCAGCTGTTTCTGCTGCTGCAAACAAACGAGGCTTTGCGTTTGGGCCTGTTGCTCCTGGAACTGCTGGGCAATGGCCTTCAGTTTCTCTGGATACAACTGTGCATCCAGGGAACGCATCTGGCATGAAATTGAGACAAAAAGTGTGTCAGTGGCCACACTTCTCAGACATATGAAACAGTGTACCCTCATGTTTTGTTCCCTTGTTGTGTCTGTTCATGTTGTTGTTCATTACCTGATCTTCCAGTATCATCCTGACTGAGCGTTCCTTTTCCAGTTGCTGCCTTAACTCAATCATCTCCCTCCTTAAGTCTTCAGTCTTCTCTTCCTCCAGAATGTCTGGTGAGCCAATGCCTTCATCTTTCTCCTCTGCACGCCTCCTCTTTGGGGAGGAACCACTTAACTCCTGGGGAAAGCAATCAGAAAAGTGATATCTGCTTTGTGCAATTACTAAAACTGAATATAGAGCAGTGATGGATGCTCCTGCTGTACCTGTATGATTCGTTTAAGCTGACTGTTCTGCTGCAATAGCCGTGTTTTTTCCTGCTCCAAAGTAAAAATGTAGTCTGCAGTTTGTTGCAGGATGGCAGCCTGATGAACAAAGTTACAGTTCAGTTAGAAAAGTGAGTTCAGGACTTCATGCATATTGTAGCAACATCAAACTTGTTGCTCGTTTCATAGCAATCCAACAAAAAGGGTAAAAAAAAAACGAAACAAATGGACTTCTATTCTGAACCTGAAAATGTTATTAAATTTATCATGACCTGAGAAGCTTCACCAGCATACTTCATAGCAATGTTTGCGACCCACCTTGCTGAGCTTTTCTCCATCGCTGTGTGGGATGAGTGTTTTAAGTGACTGGAATCCAGCATTGATGCTCTGCATACGCCGACGCTCGTTGCTGTTGGCGATCTCTCTGCGTATGCGCCTCTCTTGGTCCCGGGCTGTTTCTGGGGTCAGAGGAATGTTGGCCAGACTGAGGGGAAAAAGGAGGGGGACAAAGCTGTCAGCTGACTATAAATTACTCAAGAAAACCTATGAATGAATGCAAAAAATATGCCACACTTGTAAGAATGGAAAACCTTATTCCTGTTAGTCCGCTGAGAAATGCTTTCACAGGTAGAATTATGTACACATTTCTTTATATCTATTTTAACTGATAGCAGAAATCTTCTCAAATTACTAAGACCTTTAAACCTTTTTTCCCAGTCAGTCACTAAAACCTTCATTTGCCAGCTTTGAAGTCAAGAGAAATTAAAAAATATATAATGTCTTTTATAAATTGTTGATCTTTTTTCCTACAAAGAAAGAGCTAAATTAAAATACACGTATTTAAACACATATGGGCAAAGGAAATTAAACGACTTCAGACCTTTTTTTGCTCTACACACCTTCTATGTCTCAGAGGCAGCACACGATAAAACATATTTTACCATTGCAAGTAACTTAGTTTACATCTTGAGCTTTGTAATTAGGTTTAGAAAGTTTTACATCATCATTTTAAAACTGAAAACAAAAATCACCATATGCCAGATGCTGAGATTTGGTTATGGGTAAATTTTATCCTCCAACACCCTCTGTATCGACTGCGGTATCTCTGGGACTCCCTCATTCTGCCAAGCTCTTATCTGTACTGACTCAGCTGCCTCGGTGCAAACACTGAGAACAATCATGCAGACACGAATCAGAAAACCCGTGTGTGCGCGTGCAAGCATGAGTGTTAAGCGTGTAAAGATGTACACAAAGCATTAGTGCAGCAGAATATCTGACAAGCACATCCACTATCAAAACAGCAAGGCCCCAAACTTCAAAAACATCACCCAAAACAGAGGAAGAGCCTGTTTACGATGCCTCTGCTTTAATCCAGCCTAAAAGATGAAGAGCCTGTTTACGATGCTTCTGCGTTAATCCAGCCTAACGTAAGGCTAGAATGAAGCAGAAGCATCAGAACAAATCAAAACATTACACATGCACAAAAACATGATTAGGTCACTTAATGTATGTACAAAAACCAAAACTTTGTATTTATATTTTTTTTAACATTTCAGACTGTAACAGTTAAGAAAATTCTCACTACTTTTGGACTGTTTATACATCAGATAACACCACAACACATTTGTCAGTTGTACAAATAAGGGTTTCCTGTAAGTTCATAAGAAAAAATAAAAAAATTACATTTTAAATAGACATTTCAAGTTTCCTGAAATGCAACTAACAAATAATATTTCCAGTGACAGAACATAATTTTAAATATACAGTACACTTCTGTGACTGGGAATACTTGGTGAACTGTGTGTTGTTGTCGTTTTGAGCTGTTGCTCTCTGTTTAGGCCGGGGCACTCTTGTAAAAGCGGTTTTAAACGCCATAAGTCTTATATCGACAATAAACAAACAAAAGCAAAACATTTCGAATCCAATTTCCACAAATTTACAGCCAGAACTCGAAGCAAACAAATACAAAACTACGTTTCCCAGGATGCTCCGCGCCACCAGCAGCTGCAACGGCAAAAGATTCCTCCGCCTCCCTCAACAAACAGTGCCGCGGACGTATCGACTGGCCTTCCGCGACATACACACCCCCCTATTAATAACACCACTTTTAATTTTCCTGCCTCCCCGCGAACATCAAATTTCTCTCCAGTAGACACTGTGTGAAAAACATATTTTAAAGCCCCCAACACAAGCGGCCTCCGTCGTCACCGCGGCCGTGCTGCTAGCAGACTTTTCGTGTCCTCCGCCATTACAACAATGCGGCAGGCAGCATGGCAGAGGTGCGAGATGAAAAGACGCAGTGGAGGCGGCTCGATAGCGCGAGCAGGACGCGCACAAGCACCAGTTTAACCATCACATTTTCGAGTAACGGTGAACGTGACCACAACCGTTCCTTTGTACTTGAGCGGTGGTTGTTAATGTGACGCGATAAAACGAAACAAGCAGTAGAGACACCCCCCACCCCCCCAACACAAGCCACAAGCATGGCCGCACTACCCACAATAACTTCGACTCGCCTTGAGCCACAGCAACAACAACAAACACTTTGACATTTACACATTGCACAGATCTGACATTTATTTCAGTATGCGTTTCGCAACACCCAGGAGTGACGAGGAGGGATTATTTGAGGACAAATACATCGCGGATGAAAGTAAGCAGCGTGGTGCGCACAGAACCACGTGGTTTGTGTTTGTTGGCCACAAAATGCACAAATTTCGCGACGAAATGTGCAGATTAGCACACAGAACTGTTTCAATCGCAACAGGGGGACCCCAGCACACTCAGTCTGGATCTAATCCCAGTGTTTAGTGTGAATTAATGCCCGCAGCTCCTCGTGAGTGAGCCGCGTACACAATAACAGACCTTGTTGCCATGTAGTCCCCGCCGCAGGTCTCACAGTAATAACACAATCATAATGAACATGTGGTTTACACACCTACAAAGACCACCAATCACTTCTTTGTCCGTTTTCCTGAAATGCTGTAATGAGGGCACCTTCTGAGCTGGTACCATGAAATACTCCATGCTCGCCTCTCGCCAGTTTGGTCCCCGCTACTAAAAATGAAAATAAAAATAAAGTCTCTAGATAAAAATAAAAGCCCGCGATCCTCAGGGAAGATGTGAATCCTTCGTCCGGAGCGAGAATTGTAATGTTACTCGACTTCCAGCTGATGGGGTTCCCTCGTTGTGTGTGGCGCTCTACCTCAGACTCTTTCTCCCTCCCCCTTCGCCTTCTCTCCCTCTGCATGACCGTGTGTGTGTGTGTGTGTGTGTGTGTGTGTGTGTGTGTGTGTGTGTG